TGTCGACGATGGCTATGGCGATGATGGCGATGGTCATGGTGGTGACAATCAGTCTTTTCATGTTCCTTTCGGCTACTCATCATACTTTTGCTTACCTACCTTATCTTGACTGCGCAGTGGATGCGATTTGAGAGCTTGAAGGTACGGAATCCCCTCCATGAAGCTGGACAAGATCGACAAGGCGGTGGCTTATGTTGGGTCACCTTTGGCGGGGCCTGGAGCTTGAAGCTCGGAGTCTAGTACTTTGGGGTTTGTGTGTCCTGTCCAGAGCATCCAGAGCATGAGGAGTTGAGAGTTGAGGTGACGTGGCCGTGCTCCCTGCAGCATTTCTCTGAACCCCGATCTGTCAGGTCCTGCGCCGCATCAAGCTCATGCAGCAGGAAGGCTAGAGCATGGTGCTTCGGGGATTTAGGGTCTGCGGCTTTGGTGCTTTCGGTCTTTAGGGGTTTCGCGCTTTAGGATGCTTCAGGTTTCGACCGCCTGGAGGTGGTGCTTTGAGGGTGTCGCTCAGTCTGTCGGGAGTTCCATGCTGCTCGTAATGCTGCGTTTTTTGCACGAGTCTTTGAATGTACGCTGCAGGACATGCTTTCTCCAACCCCGCTCCATTCGGGCTTATAATTCAGTTAAAAATACATTGGGCTGCCTTTCTTGTGGATTCGGGAGCTTTCTGGGAAATTTTGCACCTTGAGCTCAGTGTCTTAACAGACAGCGCCGGACCGATCCAGTAGCGTATGTGACGCTTGCAGTTCACACGAGAGAAGGGCTTCACCATCGAGTCCGAGGCCTCGACGGCGAACCCAAATGCCCAGACCCTAAAAGGCTAAACCCAAAAGGCCCGAACTTTGAAACCCAAACCGCGAGTCGCTTGCGCTTTCGGTACCAGCTGCGGTTCATCGGAGCACACTGCTCACCTCGGTATACCTAGGGTCCTCTTGCGACTTCCCCAAATCCCCTAGCAGTGCCCTTGGCCCAGCGCCCGGGATCGCAAGTTTAATCTGAGCTCTGCAAGCAGCATAAGCTTCGACCGAGAACCCCAAACTGCGCAAACCCTACTGTGATGCACCGACCCGGAAGATCAAATGCCCTGTGACTTGCACAAAGGCATCACCTTCAAGTGCAACACGGAAGTTGGCAAGGACGGCATCTGTCGGGCACTCTAACAGCGCATAAGTGTAGGACAGCTAAGGAGCTGCACACGTTCACTATGGTTCTGATTACGCCGAGCTCGTGCAAGGTTTCATTGCTTGGTTTGGTTCGGCACATTCTGGCTTAGGGGATGCTTCTCTGTGGGCGCACTGGAGAGGCCCACTGAAGGGCTTAGCACGGGCTAAGTAAGGAGGTGATGAGAACTCTTCGTAATCTCGGCGCTTCAGGTGATGTTGTAGCCCTCCTTAGCCTTAGTGGTATTTACCTTCGAATCTCCTCGTCTTTGGAGGACGTGACCCTGAACGGTCTCTGCAGCCAGAACGATGCAGTGATCATGGCCACCGGTGCAACGTTCTTCTGCTGCGTTGTCTTCCCTTCTATAGAGGTTAGGCTATTTGAGGGTTTATGGTCTTGTCGGATATGGGCTCAGCGATTGAATCGTTACAAAGGCTGCGAAGCCAATACCCACGCTGGTCCTGCTAGAGCATCGTGAGCGTGACTACCATGATCAACAGCATCATCATCGCCATCATTGGCTAGTGAAGTCGTCACATCAAGCCTCGACCTTCACCGGCCCTGCAATCAGCAAATCTGGTGGCTTCATCGGTGACAGTTGCCACTCGCAGCTATCCTCATCTTTCCGTTCCACTTTTACTGCCGTTCTCTACTTTGACTACTCGCGATTCGATTCCCGCTGACAGCTCGCGGATGAGGATGTGGCGTGACATGCGCAACACCGACGGCCGAAACCTGAAGAACGTCGTGCAGGCCGGTTTTCGCCAAGACCTCAGCTGCGGGTGGCTCTGTAGCCACAGAAACCGCTCCTTGCCGTTTCAAGTTATGCATCCGGGGGAGCTGTTTAAAGTTGACAGAGCCAACGTAAATATGCAAGCACATGTGCACTGTTTATATATATATATACACACAGACATACACCCATCTCGTCCACCTTGTAACCCTGAGGCGCAAGTCGCAAAGTGTCTAAGAATTGAGGCCCTAAGAATCCCAAGCCCTCTGGCGTGGGCGTCGCATGCCGTGCAGGCCATGGACTTCCTGACAGCCGCTTGGAAGAAGTTGCCAAACAAAAACGAGTTGAGGCGTTTCAGGCTTTGGATTGGGTTGGATGCCTGGGGAGGGTCGCTGCTGCCCAGTCGTAGTTCCAGGCACTCATCCTTTAATATTGAGCTTCGAATTTGGGGCGCGCCTATTATGAAGAACTGCCTTGTTTCATCAGAGCAGGGCAATCAGCCTGAGGACACTCAGAAGAAGAACTTGGACACGGAAATGGGCCTAAAGAACACCAGCACCACCACCTACGACGTGCAGGCAGGGACAAAGGGCTGACCAACTCAGGTTCTTCCGTACTGGAAATCTGGATGCAGAAAGAACTCATCTGGCTTCTGTACAAGGTCAGGATATTGACCATTGCGGTTGCTTCAGCCCTGGATAATCTGAAGAGGGAACACGCTGAAGCCCTAGGCGCCTCATTTGTACACCCTCGCGCACTCCTAAGCGCCAAACCCGGCATTTGACACAGCGGAAGCAGTGAGCTTGGACCCAAAATTGTACCCCTATTCTCAAGCTGTAGGATCCCCCACTGTAGCTGTGGCCATAAGCAAGGAAACTGCAGGCATAAAAGTACAAGTGCTTCCACTGACATGGTTGGGGTTCAGCATTGTATCATATAGCATTCAGGCAGCTGCACGGAAGCCCATGAGAGGATCATCGAATAAACTTGATGGGCTTGGGTGAGGATCCGCGTGAAGCGCTCCAGGGTCTCAGGTTCTTAGCTCACTCAAGCGTATGTAGGCAACTAGCTACGCACATAAGCAGACACACTGCCATCCATACGTGCGTAGGTGTACATGTGGACATTTATAGACACATATCTCTATATTATGTGTATGTATATATATATATATAGAATATGTATATAACATGCACATGTTCGTATACATACACACACATACACATGCAAACACGCAGCTTCCAATGATTGCTAGAATGGTCGTGCAAGTCCCTGCTACCCGTGCTATAGGCTGTCAGGACCGAAGCCGCACAGCACAGAAGTATGTCAATGTCAATCCCGGGAACTCTTTTCCGAGCCTGTGGCTTTAAACAGCCAAGGCAAAAACTGCAAACCGTTTGGAGTTTACGGGCTCCTAACGCCGTAACCCCCAAATGCCGAAATACTAAACTCTGAACCTCAACCCATGTTCCTCGACTCTCATGCAGGGCAAGCGCGTGGTAGTCATCGGCGGCGGCGACACTGCCGTGGACTGCGTGGCCACGTCTATCCGCCTCGGTGCAAAGCAGCTCAGCTTCTCTTGGGTTTGTTCTTGGATTTAGGGTTTTACGGGCATAGCTCTAGGTGGAGATGTCAGGAGGGGCGCTTGCCTCCCCGAAGCCGGCCAGAATGCTAACGTAATGCTGATTTGTTCTCGACTAACGAGGCACAGGGAGCATTACCCCTCTGTGCTTGATGTATTGCTTCAAGCCTCATCAACCTACGACACGATCAGGGAACTTGGTAAGTATCCGGGCATTAGATGGTATAAATGGGAGATGCAGGTACCTCTATCCCAAGTAGTATTCGTAAGTTTTCGATGATAAAGTACGCACCAAGTCCCCCGCGGTCATCGGCGGAAAACTTACACTTCGGGTGATTTTGGGGGTTTTGCAGTCAGGTTTTCTAAGTGTTGAGATAGTTATGAGGATCAGAGAGCCCCCTGTATTTCCCGAGATGTGCACTCGACGTAGCGGCAGCGGAGCCAGCACTCAGCCAAATGTAGCCTGCTAGAGACAGTTCTGCTGCGTTTTCGGGCGGAAGTCAGAACAAACAGTTGTGCCGATACTAAACGAAACCAAAGAAGCAGGACCATTAAAAGGCTGCCTCTTATGTCGTTGTAGAAGCATGGTCGAGACTCCGAGACTCCAGACATGATGAACATATGAGTTCTGCATAGCAACGGGAAATGCCAGTGCCAGAACACCTGAACCCCAAAAAATGATTCAACAAGTCTGGTTAACAACCCTGAACCCCCGAAAACGTGTCAAAGCCTCTTAGGGGTGTGAGGGCTCGGAGCCCCTAAAATTCCCCGGCTTGCCAAAACGGCAGATGTTGAGGCTGCCAGCTGTAGATGCCTGAAGCCCCGAGGAGCCAATTAAACCCGGCCCGAGCATCTCCATTGAATGCTAATGCCTGTCTTGAGTTCGGTTTTGTTCGTGGGAATGAGAGGAACCTGATGAATCAGTTCGTACGCCCAGCTGCTGAGGAGCGTCCTCCAGTTCTCGCGACGGGATGCCGCACCCAAGGACTCCGAGAAGTTCTGTTCTTTATCATGGTAGCTTCCTGTGTAGGTGTGAAGTGCAGCGTTTGCAATTTGCGATTCCGGGCTCTGGGGCTTTTGGTGAATGTGCACGACGCACTGATGGTTTGCGAGGTTTCTTCAATTTATCCCCCACACGTTACCAGGTTCTGAAGCATAAACACAGATCTTCACATCAATCCAACGAGTTGTGCTACTGCGTGCCTTTCATTTTCATGATTGGGGTACGTCGTGTTTTTTTGGGGCGCTGTGGCTTTGGAACAGCTCTGGTGTCTGTCGTTGCCACTGCGCTGGTCATAATCATGTCTGCGTCATGTGTCGTCGGTTTTGTTGCTGCTTCTGCTGTGTTTGGTGTTTGCTTGCTGATTGACACTGTCTCTACAATAAAGATTCCTGCCCGCAATTAGGACGGCGACCACCCCTACAACTGCTGGCACGGCTAGATTCAGTTTCGAGTCCTATTTCTAGGAGATGCAGTCTTTCTGTCTAAGCTACGCTCGTCCATGACGGAGGTCGTTTGCATGTGTCTGTTCCAGGTGCTGCTGCTGGTGTCTTATTTTCAGCATTCTGGTTCTATAATCCTGCTGCTCACTCGACTATTGCGTCGTCCGTGTCAATTTCGACTCTTGTGGGAGTTTCAATCCTGCCAATATTGCCTCGTCATTGCCTCATCATTTCGATTCTTCCTACAACTATGTTCTTGGTGATTTCCTGGCTACGTGAACTGCACGAGTTGGGACCCGAAAACCCAGAAACCTAGGCGTTCCACTACTAGTTACTAGACCTAAAGCCCTCTATAGCTCGGAAGCCTAGAACCTAACTTCAAGTCATGTTATGATTCTGCCAGGATCGGCCAAAGCACACCCCCTGGCCCTGCTGGGCGGACACGTACCGAGCCTCTCCTGCAATTCAACATGGGAGTCGCGCTTTTGGGCACTGATTCTCGGGTGTGGGTGTTTAGGGCCGTGTGATTACTTCGTGGTGTGAGCGTGTAGGGCTCGGTGGGTAGGACAGAGAGCGCCTTGCCCGTAAGCAAGTTATTAACACCAAGCGTATTGTGCACCAACAGGCCCCAACGGTTATGGCCGCGACCTTGATAGTCAAATTCTGGCAATAGTAACATCAATCTTCGTTTTCTTGCATTGGTTTGATCAGCCCTGGCTTGCGTCGTTTCTGATTCTGATGCCGATAGCTTTGATTTTGATAGCTTGTAACAGCCTACAACTAGTACTAGGATTAGTACTACTACTAGTACTAGTACCAGTACCAGTAGTAGCAGCAGCAGCAGCAGTAGCAGTAGCAGTAGCAGTAGCAGTAGCAGTAGCAGTACTAGTCGTAGTAGTAGTAGTAGTAGTAGTAGTAGCAGTAGCAGTAGCAGTAGCAGTAGCAGTAGCAGTAGCAGTAGCAGAAGCAGAAGCAGAAGCAGCAGCAGTAGCAGTAGTAGTAGTAGTAGTAGTAGTAGCAGTAGCAGTAGTATTATTCAATTATTATTATCAGTAGTAGTAGTAGTAGTAGTAGTAGTAGTAGTCGTCGTCGTCGTCGTCGTCGTCGTCATAGTCGTAGTCGTAGTAGTAGTAGTAGTAGTAGTAGTAGTAGTAGTAGTAGCAGTAGTATTCTTCAATTATTATTATCAGTAGCAGTAGTAGTAGTCGTCGTCGTCGTCATAGTCGTAGTCGTAGTCGTAGTAGCAGTAGTAGTAGTAGTAGTAGTAGTAGTAGTAGCAGTAGTAGTAGTAGTAGTAGCAGCAGTCATAGTAGTAGTTATAGTAGTAGTCATAGTAGTAGTCATAGTAAAGTT